CTTCTCTAGACTGAATCACAAACAGCAAGATCTGTTTTTGTATCTTGGTGTTTCAAATTGTCCACAATATATTACAATTGAGTGTATGAGGTCTACTAGTGCATTGAACAATTTTAACATTACATTCCTTGTGCTTAGTGTTATGGTGCAAAGTTATTGCTTATTTGTTACATTTTAATCTATACAACAAGAAAGTCAGTGGGGTCAGAGTGTAAATATTTGATTAGATTTAATTTAGTCCATGGCTGTCCAAAATTGGTCCTGTAATTTTAATTATTTTACTGTTTTATGTTCAAATTGCACAAGGTATATAAAAGGAAATACCTAAAGCTATACAAAAATCTCATATTTTATAATTTGTAAATTGTTATAACTTGTAAAGCTGTAAGAGAATATCTGTACTTTAAGTATTACTTTATTATTTGAAAGTAATCATATCATACCTTTGTGACTGTGATACTGTAGGAAAATATCTGCAGTGTTGCATAGGACTGCAATACAGGTCTAATTTAAATATGTATTTTAACTGAAAAGGTTAAATATAAGTATGCATTATATGTTGAGGAGTTTTATATGTGTGTTTTATTAATCAAATGTTAGCGACCATTCAATGGAAAACTATGTTTACTTTTCTTGCTTTTCAGTTTAAGGTTATTGTTATTACTCTAAAATACAATTGAGAACAAAATTCTTAGATTTCTTTCAAGTCATTAAAATCAACTGACTTGCATTAATTCAGTATTAATATAAGTAAAAGTTTAGACCACTGTAGGTGATTTAGAATAACCTAACTAATCTACACATTCCTGTCTAATTGTTAAAAATAGATCAGACCCCTCAGATCATTGTATTGACAGAATATATACAATTGAATCTGATAGTTTTTGTATGGTATTGTAAGGTAGTTTTATTTATATTTGACTGACTGTATACAGTACATGTATAGAATCCACTGAATGTTTTACTGCACTGTATGTACTCTGTATTATATACGGTTTGTATATTGTCTCAGTGAAAATTTCCACCATATGTGGACAATAAATTCGATTAGAAATAGAAATAGAAATTAGAATAAGATTTTGATTCTGAAATAAAATACTTTGTCTAATGTAGAGACTTAAATAAGATATGTTGACTGGATGATTAAATTGCAGAACAATACAAAAATCAAGGTTCCAGTCGTACTTTTCATTTACTGATATACAGTACATTGTTTTAAGCCGTGTGTTATTCTATACAGGTGGTTACATGTTTCAGCTTCATATAGTTCTTTGTATTTACTGTACAGTACCTGCTTGAAGACCATGGATTTCAAAATTACAACACAAACAAAACACTGATTTTATGTGTATTTTTTATTTCTGATACAGAAGCAAAATACAAAAGGTTCCTAAATTATCAAATTACTTTTCCATATGGAGAAATACTTCTATTTGAAGAAACATGCTGCACCACTACTAAAATTCTTTAAATTCAATTATATCCTGGACTGGTATCACGGTAGCACATTGGTTAGAATTGCTGCATCACAGCCCTGGGGCCTGAATTCAATTCCTGGGGTGGTATCTGTATGCATTATGTATATTCACTCCATGTTAACATGAGTTTCCTCTGTGTGCTCTGTTTTCCTCCCACAGTCCAATAGGAAAATTGGCCCAGGTGTGAGTGTGTGTGTTTGAGTCTGTGTGTGCACTGAGATGGACTGGCATCTCATTCAGGATGTATCCTGCCTTGCATCTCTTGCTTACAGTACCTGGGAAGGCTCTCTTGTGACCCTGTACGGGATAAAGTGGATAGAAAATGGAAGGATGAATGAATGGATATCCTGGATCCACATTCCGCCTGAGAGGAGCATGAATATCCAATTTCAAATAAAGACTCCAACAAAGTTAAAGGTTGAACAGCAATTCAATTCAGTTAATATTTTTTTCTAAACATCTGTAACATTATTTATGAGTTCACTCTTCCAACTAATAAAAAGAATAGAGATTTGTAATCGTCATTTTTTTTAAGAACAACCTTTCATGTGTTATCTATATTAATTCAATTATGGAAACAAAAAAGTTGAAAGCGCCAAAACAGCATTTAAAAATGTTTCCTTTATAAATTAATAAAATCCTCAGCATTGGTATGCTGCCATTAATATGCATATAAACCATGTTATATAGCTAAATTTCAGAAGTACGTAGAAGAGCTTGTGTCTTAAAGAACTTATTAAAATGAATTACCCCTGTATTACAATAATTTGTATGATTGATAACCTATGTTGTTCCTGTCATATGCAATAAGCATATAAGCATGAAATAATATTCTGTTTCAGTGTAATTCCTTGCTATTTTATCTATGTAAAGTCAGTTTAATAACCAACAACATAGATTTTCTGATGATTTTCAGATTAAAGTACGTCACAAGAGTCTAGAAGGTTTCTGTGTGTACTGAAAGATGTTATTTTTAGAGGGAATCATTTAACTAATTGTTTTTTTTATAATATTATATATAATCAATGATGTTTGGAAGAGGTGGAGCTACCTGAAATGAGATATAAGTATGTATTTGATTGTATACAGTATGTGCACAAATGTTTGGATTTATTCACAAATGATTATTTATTCTCAGTAAATCTGCAGGTCAGACATAATCCAATAGTTGTGAAAAGCATTCTGTTTTATTATTAAAATGTTTGGTGTTGCTAATGACACATTTAGAAGAGTTGTGTTCCCTGGAAATGTACTGTTTGTAAACTAAGGAACTAATCTCTGTAGATTTTCTTTTTCAGAATAAAGGAGATCCCAAAACGTTTTTGTTTCAATCAAAATATTAGGTTAACATGGTTTTGCTGAATGTTGTCTAGTTAAAGGAGATGACATCAAAGTATCTGTGGGAACCTCAGTGTGAATTATGGATGTAATACGGTAAATGAGATTCTCTCAGCATTAGTTATGTCTCTGAATAATATTTAGATTAAATTAAAATAGCAAGGGTTTTGTTGTAGTTATGAGACTGCCTTTCAAAGGAACATAAACCAAAAACATTTACATTGATGCATGATTTTGTATGATTTAGGGGCTAGATGGTGGTGCAGTGCTTAGCATTACTTGCTCAATTATGGACCTACTGTAGGGTGCAATCTGAGTGGAGTTTGCATGTTCTCTCAGTTTTCACATGGGTTTCCTCTGGTGCTCTGGTTCCCTCCTTCAGTCCAAAATACCGTTAGGTTAGTTGGCCCAAGGTGTCTGTGCTTGTGTCTGTGTGTCTGCCCTATGAAGGACTGGTGTCCTGCCCAGGGTGGTCCCCATTGTTTGCCAGGATAGGCGTCGGCTCACAACGCTGAACTGAAAGAAGTGGTTAGAAAATGAATGGATGTATACTGTATATAAATAATGGTTTTGGTTACATAAGGCACTGCTCCTTCAAATGAAAGATGGATCAAATAATAGATGCAACCCAAAACAATTTAACAGATTGACTCTGTGTGAAAGGTACCTTGTTCATACTCTACTCATAATGACAAAAAGTTAACTACTGTAATGCAGATTTTTATCAAATGTTGTTAATCAACCGTTAGCTTTTGTTAAGCTACAGTACATCACCCTCTTAAATATGATAAAAACAATGATGAAAAAGGTGCTGGCATTAGATGTAAAAAGTATTGAAGATTACGGAATTAGGATTTTCAATAAGAAAGCAGTTGAAGGGTATTATAAAGAAGCCAAATGGCATAAATCAGTATCAAAGTTTGTGGTTTACTAAAGGCTTACATTATTTCTTTAGTAATTACAAAATATAAAATATAGTGTAACGCTTACAGCCGACAGGCACTGTGTAAGAGCTGGCGTACCAGAGCAGATGACGTCACCGCCCTTCCCTGTGATAGCAGGACTACAGCTACTGGGCTGTAGAGAGATCTCTCTTTAGCTCACCGGGCTGGGTCCCTGCGGGGTGACACGGGAGTCCCGGGTTCGAGCCCCCGACGGTGCGGTCCTAATGCGGCAAGGGCGCCCGCCTGAGCCCCCGTTGCGTTACAATATAATGCAATCCAAAGTTTACATACAAAGCAAGGCCAAGGCATACTACCTCTAAGGCCAGAAAGATTATTTCAGAAATCCAAAGTCCTAATGACAGCTGAGGACAGGAAGATAAAACAGACTTTGGAATTAATATATGTGATACAATACTGGGAAACTAATTGAAAAATGAGCGGTCTATGTAACTGCAGACCTCACAAAATCTTTGCCTTAGAAAATGTAAAATAAATTAATCATAATTCAGTTTACTTTTGTTCTGGTTGGTGTATTTTATGATATATTCTATGTGAAAAATGTTTACCATGTCTATATACAGTGTGTATACATTATACATATTTATAGCGTGTGTTCATGTGCAGTGCATACAAATACAATTTGCTATAGCTTGATAGTATTGCTATCAAACAACCCGACACAAATAAAGCAGACTGTGACTCAGAATGTAGTCCAGTGCCTAACACAAAATTCCAGCCTACTAGAATAAACCAGAAAATTTGATCTGATTAATTGAAACGAATGAAAGAAGAAACGTGAACACTGTACGCATGATTTTCTGTTAAGGAGGTTGAGTACGGAGAAGAGCCTAGGTGTGGTACAAAAACTCGCAAACTGTCTATGTGTAAATTTCGGATTGAAATAAGGCAATCAAAAGCAAAACAAATCCAAGACGACATTGAACAGGTCAAGCCCAGACTTAATATTGTACATACAATTGGGATGAAAGCGGTGAATCTTGCGGGTCTGCAACTTGAATTGGCAATTGTTTTAGTATTATTATGTGAGAGCCATATGCCAAGCTAAGTCTGCTTACTGTCAATGCGAGGGACAGCACCAGCCTTCTGCAGCCTACAATACGGTCAACATTTCGATTCAGCACCCTGGACAGCTCCCTGTGCCCCTGCATTTCAGACACCGCATAGCAGGATGTGGCTATCGATCGGTTACCATTGACAGATTCCCGCAGGAAGCAGAGGCAGTCAATGGATGAGCCTCGATCCTGAAAATTTTCACTCTTTCTACATCCCTCCCCTTTTCCTTAATACCTTATCCCTTTCAGAGATCCCTGGCGGTGACTGGAGAGTTAAAATACAGAAAACACGTAAGCAGCAACAGCCGCGTTCGGTAGGGGGAGATTGCCTTGCCAATACAAACAGCTATACAGGGCGCTTTCAACGTCAGGCGTCCGACTACATCGCATCCTTGTATCTCTGTAACTAACAGGAGCAGGTTGGATTTCTTATTAATACCAGGATTTTTGATTTCCTTCCTAATAGCTTTTAAGCAGGGGTGCTGGACTTCATACAGTCTGTTCAACGCTCTTTTTCATCTGCATTTGCTGCCACTACATATCCTTCGGGTCCTGCATCTTTCATCTTAGCTAGGTAGCTACCACTGTAGAAAACAACTGCAAAACCCAAAATGTTGGATCCGTCGTCCAGCGAAGAGGAATCAGACGAGATAGTGGAAGAGGAGAGCAAAGAGGTAATGGCACCTCCGGCCGGAGCTCGGCTTTCCCCAAGCCGGACCAGCGAGAGCTCCGGCGGGCTACAGCCCAGCAGTCGGAGCAGTAGCGTCCGCCCATCCAGCCCGAGTCCTTCGGTGGTAAGCGAGAAGGAGAAGGAGGAGATGGAAAAAATGCAGAAGGAGGAGGAGGAAAGAAAGAAGAAGCTGCAGCTATATGTCTTTGTGATGAGGTGCATTGCCTACCCGTTCAATGCAAAACAACCAACAGACATGGCGAGACGACAGCAAAAGGTAAGTGTATAAAAAAGGAAACCCATCTCAGCAAACAGAAGCGGGAGCGAAAAAAAGCTCTCCGTGGGGTGTATTTTGGAGGCTTCCAAACACTAAAAATAAAATTCCATTAATATCCATAAACCCCTTGTCCTCTTAAACACATCACCTATAAATTCTGAAAGCTCACTGTGTTTTTCATTTCTTCAAAATGCACCTAAGGCTGTAACATAGTCCACGGGTATCATAGCTACTGTACATAAAGCGCTATAGTGGACTATATAGTCGAAGAACTGGGACTGCAACACCATGCATATTTGAGAGATTGTAAACTGGATTTGCTCCGTGAAAAGGGCTTAGTGTTTCCTCTCACTGAAGGAACATACCACATAAACGCTCAGATGTCATGCAGTTACAAAACATAAAATACGTGTATTAATCTGTACAATATCATGTCTACAATGTTTTGCCGTGACTGAAAAATATTACATATCGGGTTCCTGCTAGGTTTAATCGACACGCTAAAAAATACCACAATAAAGTCGTGTCATTGTCATAGACCTTACCTAAGTCATGTGATTTAAAGATCTGAAGTCTGGCGCTGTGCATTATAGCTATGCAAAAGCATGGAGACGACATTTAGGACAACGTGAAGAGAAACAGTTTTCCCGAGCCGTTCTCCTTTGTCCTTTGAGTAGCTGTTAGTTATTTCACAAGGTGGCTTCATAGCTCATACATTTATTAAACAAGAAACACTTATAAGGGGTTCAGATGATTAAGTTGCCGTCATTTATTTAAAAATAGATGTTTTGTTCGTTAAGATTAAAAAAAAATATTTCTAACGTCTTCACTTTATTAATGTTTTTGGTCGCTGGTGTTGATTGTGCCTAAATTAACTGCGAATTTTAAGTTAATAATGCCGAAAACAAATTTTCCTGAATAAATGGTGTATCGCAAATATAGTGGGCCCTAGGCGCTTCCTTATTAATATCATGAAATCTCACGTACCTTCTTTATAATGTAAGTTAATTTATTTTACAACTATCTAGTGCCCTGGTCCCGTTAGGTGGCGCCTGTTAAAGTGAGGAGCGCATGGTAGAATTTTGTCCTTGCTGTGAAAAGCGCAGGTCCTGCAAATGTATTAGAAATGGTATTAATATACTGTATGACATTCAACAACCTGAATAATAGAACGGCCCATTGTTGGATAAGAAATATCGTGTACCCATACCATGATATGTGTTGAGTTTCAAATATTGAACTATTCCTATATCCTAGTGCACAGGTCTTTGTATGTTGAGCTGAAGGCCGCTTTTTAATGGATCATTGCACTAGATGTTTCAAGACAGCATACAGTGTTGACTACTGCAGCGGAGTAATAGCTAAAAATAAAGTTATCCTTTTTTAAATTTATAAAATAAATATAATAAAAGTTCACAATAGTTGGTCCATGTTATTTGTATTGTGCATGTACAATTGTAAAAAAAAATCATAATCAAACTTGCACTGCAATATTTAAAATGTTATCTGTGTATGTTCAGTGGTGCAATGCTCCGTGCAGAGGATGAGGGCTTCTGTGAATATACTGTGTGTTACATACATTGAAAAGTCTCTTCGTTACTTCTTTAACAGTCAGTCTGGGAAATATCATTTTTTGGATCAATAATAATAAAGCAATTATTCCTTTCAAGCCCAGTCTGTTCATGGTTAAGCTGTCCTGTTTTTTTGTAACAGGACCATGCAATCATATTGTGCTGCTGTTATTCTCCTTTAAAACCAACAAAACAGTCACATCCAACTCACAAATCCCCATGCTAATAAAAAGAACACAGTTATTGTCAGAATTGACCCCTTTATGTATAGCACACAATGTATTCATATAATATACTGTACTGGGCATTCATTATGTGGATGTGGATTCACTATTCATTCATGGATATGCATTAGACTTCATCTACAGGAGCTAAGATTTTAAAAATACACAAGTCTGGAAATATTTTTTTTCTTTTACATTTAATTTGAAAGCTTTCCAATATCTTTTGATTTACAAATTGAGTTATTTAGGTTTTAGAGTAGTTATACTATACAGTAGGGGTCATCTTGATCACAGAGAATCATTAATGGACAACACGTTTTAATGGGTGAATTTCAAACCATACTTTAAATTTGCTTAAACATACTGTGCCATATGTGTTGCTAATATTTAAAGAAGTTGTGTGACTTCTTTGAAATGCTGTCTTGAAACAAAAAGGAAAGAAATAAGTAAACATTTCTAACCAAATTAACTGATGACATCCATCAAGATGACTTCTGTAGCCCTGTGAACATACTGTATAGCTTTCCTCTGTGTTAATGTGAGCTGGATAATGGAATACCTTCCTCGGGAGGAATGGAGGCCATTTTAGGCACTAAATACTGAATCACTTCCCGACAGCCTCAATCACCTCTATTCTCAGCGACAGTCATGCATACACTAGGTCTACTGTTAGAGTGGAAACGTAGATGTTTCATAATTGCTAGGGTATCTTTGGTAGGCCATTAAACATCCACATTTATAATTTTATGAAATTACATTAACATGGAATAGAGATTTGGAAGCTATCTACAACATTTTTGTGGATTTACCTGCATGGCCACATATATTATTGTACTTTGTTCAACAGGCACAGATTCCATCTTAATATCATAGTCTCTCTAATTATACAACATACAATCTCATTGGTAAATAAATGCTTTGAGTACAACTGAACAGTAGTACTAAAAATTGATAGAATGGCTATTAAAGTGATGCTTGAGTAGGACTACCATGGGCACACCAGATGGGTCTGAATCAATAAAGCATCAAGTCCTTGAGCCAAGCATCAAGTGATTCCTGACTGCTTCTGCAGTAATAGCTCATTTTTCCTCATGAACATTGATTCTTAGAATGTCAAGCTTTGAGCTGATAAATTCCATAGCAGATAGAACATGTTTGGGATAGTACTACTGTATCTAACTATAGAAACCTTCCCACAGTATGAATCTATTAATCTCAAGATTGATAGGATAGGATAATATTAACCTGGAAATGTGCAGCCCTGTGTAACACAAACCCTTCCCTATTTGCAAAATTCCTCATTTTCTAACCATAACCATAACAGAACCCGAGAACTGTTGAAAACAAAAACAGAAAACGGACAGCGTATTAATTTTAACATTTCCCAAAAGTGTTAGAATAAAGTCACTACTAAACTATTGGACACAAATATAAAAACAGATGGCTCTTCTGATGCCAGATAATGACCTGTTAAGTGTGCAAGTATTTGAGCTCCTGGCATACTGATATCAGAAAGAGAGCAGCTTTAACGTCTAATTGTTAAACTTCAGCTGCTGCTCCTTGAAGTGTAGTCCAGTGACCCTGAAAAGACAAATACAACAAAGAAGTAATTGCTGTATAAGCCATTGTTTATCCATAAAATTCTATTTTATTAATTGCTTTTTGATTTAAGATTTTTTTTGCAGAGCAAATGTTGTGAATAAGTTTGTGAGTCTTATATTTTATCTGGATGTTATGTGATATTGTGAAACATTATTGATTATTTTTAGTTTATACCACAAAATGGATTTATTCTTTTAATTAATTAAAAATAAATAAACAATGGATTTCTAACTTTTAAATAAGATTATTACATAACATTGACTGTTTCTCTTGAGAACAACAACTATTACAGAATCATTAAACTGTTATTATTCTTGAGATACTAATTTGGCCATGGGTGCAATACAAGAATTCAAATAAAATGTCTGAAACATATCCTAAAAATATTAAATATCATTTCCAGGAATGAGCGACCTCAAAGCAATTAAGATTCAATTAACTTATGACACTGTGACCACTGGAGAAATCAGATTGTATTTTGGTACTGTATGTTACAGTCATTTTTAACCATGCTTGCAAAATCTAAATTAATGGATAAATCCTCTTCTTGCTATCTTTTGGAAACATACCTCTCTTCAGCAGAGGCCAAGGGAAAGAAGACATATAAAGGAAATTCTTAATCTTTAAAGAGAAAAATGGCAAATGCTTATACCATTATAAATATATTCATGCTATCTGGCTGCAGCTTAAGCAATGTTCTTCTGTCTCCAGAAAATATATTATGAATTTGCTTGAGATAGCTATATGATACTTCATACATCATAAATTTAATGGAGACTAGAAGAGTGTTGTGCTTTCAGTCTGATTGGTGCAAAACGATTCAAACCAATGTGGTTGGAAATAGGTGAATATAGCTTTAATGTAGTCCAAGCTGTAATGCTGAGAACAATTAGACAGCTCTTTCTAGTTCAATCTTTCATAAGATGATCATACTTTCTATCAGTCAATAATCTATTAGAGGTTCAACACAGGTTAATAATGAGGGTCATGCACTTCACTCATGAGTTTATTGTCTTTTATATTCCACTGAGCCGGTGCATGTGGAAAAGATGGGATCTCTCTTCACTTTTCTAGCAAAAGGAATCTGGTGGTGAAAAGGGAGCTTAAATCCCTTCTCTCAGTTAAAATGAATAAAATGTGACAAGTAGAATGTGTTAAGCATTTTTTCTGAACGTAAATGAGGAAAGTACAGTATGTGTCCAACAGCAACAGCAACATGCTACACCTGCAACTTTGAAACATTTGAGACAAGAGTGAAGTTAGACAAATGTGAAGACTTGGAACACTCCTGGCAGATGGAATTTAATGTAGACAAGTACTGAGCCTAGCAAAAACATAAATTCTAGTATAATATATGTATTACAGCTAAACCGTGAATTTTCCAATATTATATACAGTTTTGGTCACCACATGAAAAAGTCGATATTGCTTTTCTGGGATCAGTCCAGAAAAGAGGACAATTTCCTGGGTTTAAAGGAATGCCGTATTCTGACAGACTGAAAGAACTGAATCTTTCCAGGATTCAACAGAGAAGTCTTTTAGGGTACCTGATTCTGTTATACTAAATCCATTGTACTTCTTCAGCACCAAAGGTGAAACCCAT